TTCTTCTAATATTAGAACGTTTGAGTATATGTTAGCTGCCTTATCGTTCCTCTCGAATTAAGAGAACAATTTCTCGGAGGTTTCTATAGCTTTGTGTATTGCGCACGGGATCGCATTCTTCCCCATAAATCTGCCACCCTCGCATCTTCGGATGTATCCGGCTCGTGCTACATGTGGCCTTTTCCTGATCTCCCTTTATATCTCCTTTCTCACGAGTAAAATTTGATCTCGATTTGGGACGACCAGTGAAAATAATGAAGGCGGAAATGAATCCCGGGATTTCATTGTGTACCTACCAACTATACTGTGATCAAATAATTCCTATACCAATAATAATGGGTAAACATGAGTGAATGATATAACGCATGAAATTATTATCTGGATTATATTGAATCATTTATGAAATGAAATTCAATTGAATATTTAATTGAAGTTTTGTAAGTAACATCTTTCGCCTTAGTATTTTAGTTTGAACATTTAGTTCATCTTGTTGTAACAATTGCAATGCAAAAATTTATATTAATTAAAAAAAATAACGTTAATAATTAAACTAATAAAAATATAATAATAAATATAATAATAAAAATAAGAAATATGACATAGGGTATATAAACTTAATGCCTTCAAGAAATAATTTACGCAAGAGTGGAAATGGAAATTCACAATCTGAAGCCGATTTAATTCCGATCATTTCTCCTACCAACTTTTCAAAATAGATAACACTTTACAGTATTAAAGCTCATCCCTGTCTGACGTATCGTAATGTCGATCGAATATCGACATATGAATAATAATTGTGATCGAAGTAACTTCGCGTATCTCGCCGCATGATGTTCGCGTTGAGATACCCGAGCCACTAACTGGTATAATATTGCAGCTTTGTCTCGTCTCTGGTTGAAATGACACGCCGCGATACTCTGAGCTTCAAATTGAAATCTGGACAGAGCGGGCCGAAAGTACCGCCAGAAACAGAAACGGAGATAGAAAGGGAACGGGATTGCGGCGGCTCTAAAGTCTCTCTGACATTCTGGCAAAACGCGCTCAAACGTAGGCGAGCTTAGGGACGAGCAAGCGACCACTCGTAACTGCAGACAACTCGTCTTCTAAACGAGAACGAAGCTAAGGTAAAGCATCGTGCGCATCCTCCATTTTGCGCGAATGCTTTAACTCGCAAATCTCTCTCTCTCTCTCCCTCTCACTCTTTCCCTCAGCGAGGACACTAAATATCCGACAGACCCCTCGCGAAGCAGCTCCCGCATGTACGGTTCCACCGCTTATTGTGAAAGTGGTAATTACCGGCTGTATAAGTTGGGATCTATTTATGAGGCCGCTACATGTATATATTACATGTATAACTCGAAGAAACTGCAAATTAGATGCATCCAGCTTGTGTTTAACGTTCATGAAATAATGAAGTATCCAAGCTACTCGTTGAGTATCTAGAATGTGTTCGGTAAAAAGAATATAAATATTAATTATAAATCTACCGTGTTGTGTAGAGACCTACCAAAAAGAAAATCGACTTAATTCCAAAAATTGTACAGTCAATAGAGAGAATGCATTAGAAATTATAGTAGTCATATCACAAGTTTTGCACGAACTACAAATTCGCTGAATTTCTTAATTTACTCGCGTAACAAATTTGTCGTAGAAATGGGCAGATAACCGAGGGGTTGAATAAACCGAAATCCAAGGAATCGACATCAGATTGCGGAAAAGCTCGTTAATTAATGCAAGTCAAACGCGCTTAGCGCCAATGCTTTCTGTGGGCAAACTTTATTTCCCGCTGAAGGATATTTCCTTTCAGAAGATACCGCACGGAGGAAACGAGAGGAATGGAAAAGCGAGCGACTTAGTTCCCGGAGAAGTTCGCCGCGTAACAATATGGCCGGTCTACCGAAGAAACGCCCGGCGCTTTACCTCCGCATCCTTCCACAGTCGCCCGTCTTCTCTACTTTAATTAGCCTCGCCCGCCAGTAAACAATAAGCCGTTATTTCTGACAAATTAATTCGAAAAACAATTCCGTCTGTCGGGTCGCCGGGCTATGCGACGGCGCAGCCGCCAGCTTTTATCCCGCTGGGGGATGCGCGTCTCAAAACATAACGAGCATCCCTTTCATGTAATACTACACCGTGGCCCACGCTTCGCCGGAATTCCTGAGACTCGACCGTGTTAAGCTCCCTCAGGATCCTCCCCGGCTGCAAGAAAATCAGTCCGTCGTTGTCGAAGAGCAGAACATCGCACGGCGATCAACAATCCCAACATAAATTATAAAAGCAATCATACTCTGAAAAAGTTACTTACGTTAAGTATCTTATTTTCAGAATTTTGTCATTTTAACAATTGATAGCGCTTTGATTTTTCCTTAAAAATTTCTAGAATTTCTAATACATTCTGACAAGAATTCTAATGATTAAGTGTAAAAGGTAGGGATCCCAAGATTCACGATTTTTTAAATAAATCGGTCATAAATTCTAATACTTTTTGATAAAATTCTTAAGGCACTACATAGAGAACATACCTCTTTGTATTTTAATTCAGTTTTTCGCGAAGGAAAAGCTGATTTCAAATTTGCAAACATGTTCCTAAAGTTTAACCGTGGACCTTATAAGTCCCGTATAATTCGATCATAATTAAGTACCGTGGAGAAATTTCCTGTTCATCATATCGTGTCCTCTTCCTCGCGTACTTGCAGAATATATTTCTCGCGCGCTAGGAGATACGGGCGGTTACGTTCAGACCGGCCAAATCGCTTTGTCGCCGTCGCGTGATCCTCGTCGTTATCCACCGCGCAAATATTTAAGCATACCGCGTCCGTACACTCTGGAGATTATATGGAAAGCTCTCTCAGTTCGTTTCGTCCGACTTCATCAACATACTGATCAAACTCGTTCTGTTTCGCCACGCGCACAAACTTAATACAAAACCATCATGTGTCGCCTTTTATAATTTGTCGCGTGCAATAAAATCGACAATCGAGTGAACCAGCAAATAATATGTAATCGAGAGTCTTAAAGGATTATTCTTTCACAGGTTCCATATATGTTATATATAAAATACGTTTTGCAAAAAGAATATTCAATTTTCTCGCCTCATATTTGCTCAAAATCTCAAATATATCTTATGTAACTTTCATTGTGGAATCTATAATACTTTGTTAGATATGAATGTTGATTTGCACGGACAGCTTGCATGCAGATAAAGTGTCTAGGGACACCGGAGACGTACACGCAGTACTGGCTATATCAGCACCAGTCTGCAAGCGCGATTGAAAGTCGAGAGAGCTCTCGAATAACCCGATTCGCTCCGCCCAATCTCTATCTTCACCATCTCTATTCGCGTTTCGAGCGCGTTTGGGCGAACTTGGGACCGCTTCCGAGGGTTCCGTTGCGGATATCCAGTTTGATAGTTTAAACCGGATATTCGACGCCTGCCCCCTCTCTGCTCTTCCGCTGTTTCTCTCACCGACGAACGGAGAATGGAAACGGCGAAAGGGTTGTAGTTTCGGAGCGCGCGGGGTTGCAGCGGCACTCAGGCGGCTTATAGCAGCGCGAGACGCTCATCTGCATTTCAAATCGCACGCCCGCACGAAGATTTGTACGCGCGCGCACCTTTCTGCGAGCGTGGTTCCAAACGTGTACAGCATCGTCCAGGAACGGACGATCGGACGATCGCACAATATTAAAAACTGGACAACTAATGGATAAAACATACGAGATGTGTCACGCTTTAAAGTTGCAGTCCACGTTCAATCGCGATATAATTATATATCTACGCGATTCAATAATAATACTTCCGTCGATCGACATCTCGTTTTACTAAATTGATAAAATATATATGTTGAAAGAATATATGCATATATATATATATATATATATATAAAATTAGTTTTTCGTACTGTTAATTTACCATATTCAAATGAACAAATAAAGAGTATGTAGGTATGTCGTGTAAAAGCGCAAGATAGATTTTTGTTGCACTGTCTAGATTAAATTTTTGGCCAACGTTACTCCCGTACATTATGCAAATGCATCTGCAACGTATATTCTCTCGTTGCTTGACGGACGCGCGCGCGTTGCATGTATACGCTTGTGTATATCAAAGATGCGTCGCTATCCGTGCATGCCGTGATTGTTTTGGCCCCGCACATACACGCACGCCGAGAGATAGCGTGCACATAAGACGGAAATTCCGCTGGATAGCTGCGGGGTCCCGCGTTCTTCTCCCCCCGTAGTAGAATTGAGCGGCCGCGGATTTACGGTAAGCGCCGCGCAAACGAAACGAGCGGAAGTCGACCGTGCTTCCGGATCAGACGGCTAGGCGAAAGTCTGCTGCGGGCTCTCTCCTCTGTCCCGATTAAACTACGCGGAAATCCTATCGAAGTGCAGACGCCATTACCATATGCGATGTGTACACGCTACATCCGCGTGCTTGATTGATTAATTCGGACGAAAGCGGCTTATTTTGCAACCGGAATAAAATGGATTTTTTTTTTTAATTCGGCTTGCCGAGCGACCTTAGCTAACCAATTCTGTTTAACATGTTCTTATTCCTTCTTTCAGAATAGATTTCTAAAATATTATATAAATAACTTTGGACTATTTTTCTAAAAAATTTTCTTTGTAATTTGCATACAATTTTAGATTTAAAATAAATCCCATACTTTTATTTTATGTTGAATCTCCTAAATTTTTATTTAGAAACGTAATTATATACAAGGTGTGTATAATATGTACAGGGCGTCCGATTCAAAACTGTAAACCTGAAAGATGGATTGTTTGATCCAATCTACCTCCACCTTTCAGATTCATAGTTTCGGGTCAGACACCCCGTATATGCATACACAAGGTTAAATATAAGACGAAAAATGTCTATATGGATTTCGCCGTTGCTGTGATGGAAGCGATCGGCTGGAGAAATTCATGGTCGGGTATTTTCCGAAGTAGCGACTGAAACTTCGTCGCCTGCGCCCGAGGCTGCAATATCGATAAGGGCTTACCTTGCCGACCCCGGTGAGCTCCTTTACGCCTATCCTCCTGAGAAGGGCGGGTGGTGCAGGAGGTGGTGACTTGAGAAGCAGCGCGGCGTATCCATTGGGAAAAATGGGCAACTCGTCAGGTCCGATGTTTTCGTCGCCGGAACGTCGTCTCCGATGCGGGCTCGACGACAGATTCAGTTTCTGTGCTGCCCTGCGACACAAAAATGTCCGTAATTTAATATTGCTATCCTGTAGTAGGTATATATATTTTAAACACAAAAATATTTTCTGAAAATAATTTAATTAAATGATTATATCGTTTATTGATTTCTCATTCTCTCTCTGCGGTGCAAATAAAATATATTATATTATTAATATTATTAAATGCACGTTTGCGACGTGGAATGTATCAAAAGCATCAAACAATCGAGCATCCAGCCAGTTTGCTTTCATTTCTACTTTCTCGGGCGATGCCTCGGCAGACACGGCAGACACCGTATACCTGCGGAAGGGTCGCCGTATTCCGGAAGGTATGTGTCTCGAGGGTGACTGGGTGACATACTCCGCGGGGCGGGCTTGGTAATCAGCGAAGGTAATGTGCCGGAACCTCCGGTCGTGCGGGGTGCACCGAGGTAGCCCGCGTTTAAAGGGGTGCACCGGGAACGAGAGCGCTCGCTGGTGCCCGACGCCGGCGTCAGTTTTGGCGGTGGGTAGGGAAGTTACGCAGGGTGGTTGCCCTAACTTCTCTCCACCCCTCGTGGGCCTCGTTAACCCACGCTCTGTGAAATTGGAAATACCAGCGACCTCTCGCGCATTCGTTCGCCCCCGAGGTCGACTCAACAGACGGACGCCCCCCCCCCTCCTCGCATTCCCGCGCTCTGCGGTAGACGCCTCCGTCGGATTGTGGAGTGTCATAAAAAATGGAAAGTATGGGGGAGACGCGACGAACCGTCGGATGGTTATCGCAGCGAGATGCAGTCGCTTTGCTCCCGCGCCGGCCGCATCGCGTCCGTTCATCAAGTGAATCACGTCGTTCGCTGCTCTTTCGCTTCCGCTCGAGCAGGTGCGAACGAACGACGCGTGAAACGACTTACGAGGATTGCGACGTGTGTCGGCCGACGATTTCTTTAATAGATTTCGGAAAGTTGATCTTGGAGAGAAAAAGAGAGACCAGATGACTTTATCACGCCATTCGGAACCAATCCCTTGAAGCACAGTGAAATAATAGAGTAATTTTGGGACAGACGACCATAGTTTTTGAAATTGATAGCTACAGTAAAAAACGTGTTTTATCCTTCGCTAAAGTAGCGGTTCTCAAAGTTCCTAAGTTGAGTAATACTTTTTATAGGAGGCTAAGAAATAATGCAACTAGGCTTTTTTATAACAAGTTAAAAATAAAGTATGTGTGTGTGTGTAATCAATAAATATTTATATTTTATATAACTAACAATAAATAAATATCAAATACACACACACACACACATCGATATCTGCAGTTGAAAAATTTTTTTATTCTCTCTCTTGTTTCCTCTCTCGCTCTCTCAGAGCGATTAAATTACAAATCATAAATAATAAAAGAATTAATCCTCTAATAAAGTAGAACTGGGAAATAATTTCTGCGAATAGACAAAATGCAACGCCACGCGAAAAAAGAACGCCTCAAAGTTAATTATCAAACCAGTTAAAAATTGTCAATCCTGTCTCGGATGGCCAGAATACGCACGCAGCGCGAGCAAACCGTGTAAAACCTTTAAGGCAATTATAGTACCCGGCAAATATCGCGCAAAAGCTTTCGGATGTTTTTTATTTGGGTCCAACGATGCCGAATTCGCGTAACGCGTGCGCACGGCTCGTCGCAGCCGCGTAACATCCATCGACAAGCGGAATGTTTTGCCGGCCCGTTCAAAAGGATTGTTTTCGCGCACTATCAACGCTGTTGCGCGCAATAAATGGCAGCGACAGAGGGAAAAAAGCGGCTGCAGGAGATCCACGAGGTCGCGGCTCGTCGTGCCGTTTTAACGAACACGGACTGCCTGCGAGGCTGACGCGTAGTATTACGTTGTACGGAATTTTATGCACTTTTTCTACATCGGGCGAATGCAGCCTCGCGGAACTCGGGGTTTTATGCTTGGTTAATTATTTACTATCTTTTCTCGGAGAGGCTGAGAAGAGGCGGGAAGAACGGGAGGGTTTATGGAGCAAACTTTGACAAACGAATTATCTACGTCCGAACTTTCGGCCACTTTTAGAGAGCACTTTTAACGATGAGAAAAATGCAGGTGTCTTCCAATTCCTCTTTTTTTCAGCCATGTAACGACATTAGTCATACGCCAAAAAGATAATCGCATCAATGCATCTTACGTTTCTTCGTCGCAAATACGTTCTGGTTTGTTTTAAACCTTGTGGAATAAAACCACCAGCAAAACAATATCAAATATTACTGCGCGTTCTTTATGTGATGTAGAGTGCGTAATAAAACATGACTGATCCCGGCGAGATATTTCTGTAATTAACGCAGACACAATTAAGCAGCCTGTCTCATTAGTGGCTTGAGAGCTTCCAACGAGAGTAAGCTCTTTCTCAACATTACGCAATAATAAAAATTCACCGCAGAGGAGAGTTGATAGGCGCATGAAAAAACAGCTGAAAATTTAATAACATTGCATTTAAAGCGTTTGTATTATCACATTATTAAACATTTATGAAATATATGGTATTTAGCAGTATAATCTCGTAGAAGAAAGAAAAATATATTTTTTATACGACATGTATATTGTTCTAACGTACTTAGAAATAAAATTTAGAATAATATTTGAAAGTGTTAGTCGATTAAACATTTAAATAAATTAAAGGTGTAATGAAAATTATTTTTAACTACTTTTAACTACTGATTAATTACTTTACGATAATATGAGATATTTTATACTAAAAGTAGAAAAACAATTATATCATTCATTTAATGAATACAAAAATTAATTTTTTATAAATCCGTGTAAATTTTTAAGTCAGATTATTTCATGTGTCATTATTACTGTACACAAGCAAAATGAAAATGCTACGGTATTTTATCGCGAGCTGACAGTCGTAAGGTTACGAAGCAAGCGGAAAGCCCATTCTGAAAGTAATGTATCTTCTATACTTCGCAATATGTGCCTAAGGAAAATCCAAAATAGAACGTGAACAAATGTGGTAGACGCAGGTGCGTGTCACAAAGGCGCAATCTATTTCATCAATCAGGAGGAACAGATGCGTACTGGGTCTCATACATGTATTCAAAACCTCCAATGAAATATCGCCGAAATCCCCATATTTACCGTTGTCATTGACATTTAATATCTTAAAAGCGAGGCACAAAATGCCGATATGAATGGAATATTAAACTGCGCACATAAAAATATAATGACTTTGCATCGATTTCTATAGTTCATATTGTAAATCTATTGTGTTACTCGTGTGGAATGTATTTTACACTCCATTGTTATATCTCAATTTTCATTATTCTCTTTGATAATTTACAATTAAATAAAAATTGATAATATTTTTCAGATAAATTGATTTTTCAACTAAAATTCAGAACAATTATCAATAACCAAAAATGCTATACTATAATTATACGCGAAAGATGTCTCCTACACTCCATATACTGTTTTTTAATTCTGTCTGTCGAATACGAGTTTTTAGATTAAGTAGCACAGCGAATTTAATTCAACTTATAAGCATTTTATCGAAAAGTTTTATTTGGTTAATTTTTAGTGAATTTCTAGGACTGAGGTGTATTTTAGATTCACGCGACTAATAAAAGATTAAGGAAGTTTCGAAGGAGTACAAACGTTAACGACATTCCGAAATACTATGTGAAAAGATTTGATTTTTATTATTTTAGACTACTATTTCGTCCAATTGTGCGGTGGTATCTATATTTCCGCTTTATAAAGGTCATTTATTTGTTCGGCTGTATTTGAAATGCTTTTCGCGAAATGACTAATTTTAGCCATATTGACTGATTTTCCCAGCGGAGATGTCGATGTATTAAACATTCGTCATTCGGCTGTGGGCAACGCGTTTCACGATTCGTCGCGCCGCACGTCGAGCGATCATAAATTTTTTTGCAACGCGCGCTTTTACAGTAATAAAAGTATCATATACTATATAGAGCTGACAAAAGAGGGGAGGAGGGGAAGTGACCCGCGGGGTTCGTTCGTAATTCGCGTGGAAATTACACGCTTAATTCGCGATGTTATTTACGAGCGAACGGACACTCTCGAGCGTCGACCACCCTCGGGGGACCGGCCAGGGGAGGGCGAGGTACGCCCGCCCTTCTTGGCAATCCGCCACGTATCTCGGCTTCATCAAGGAAATTATGGCGCGAATCGCTCTAAACGTCCGGCCCCGTTAGTAAGGTCGCATATTTCGCGCCCGCGACACGGTTCGATATCATCAGCGCGGCGCGTGAATTAAAAACTTTTGACGAGCCGCACGTGACGAGGTTTTACGAGCCCGTAGCAGGAGAAACGAGCAGGTCGGCCGCGAGGAATTTTGTAGGTGGCGGATTAATTAAACAGCGCAAGACCGGCGCACACCACAATCGACCTTTCTGCCTGGCAAGACCACGAATAAACTCGAGGGTAAACACCAACAGCGGCGATAATAGCAAGACCGCTAAACAAACGTGCCTATCATACGCCGTGGTATTGCTGTTTACGAACAATCGCCGTGGAAAACTATCCGTGCGGATATATCCGAGAGACCGCTTTTTATCGGAAATAAAATAGAACGTTAGTAACGTTTAATCTTTCTCTTATTCGTGCACTCGTCAATATAAAATGTTACGTAACAACTTACAGATTATTTTATATTTCCATGATTTCAATGTTCATGAATATGTCTTTTGCAAACAAGCTCTTCGAGGATGGAACGATATAAAATATCTGTAAAATTCGCTTCTCCAATTGAGATTACGTAAATTTTACACTTTAGTCATCTGCAATTGAAGATTATACTGCTGCTACACCGACAGGCATAGCTTTATCAATGATATCTTGATCCGTCTCTCGCAAGAGGGTACGAAAGGGTTTTGATAGCCACCAATGACGTTGAAAGTTATAAGATTCACCGAGCCACGACAAATTATTTGTCGAGACTGGCGGCAAATGAAATTTCTTCCGGACGGATTAAATTTGCATCCTCATTAACTGCTTTTCCTGCCTGCAG